TGGGTGGATGGGTGGATGGATGGATGGATGGATGGATGGATGGATGGATGAATGGATGGATGGATGGATGGATGGATGATAGATAGATAGATAGATAGATAGATAGATAGATAGATAGATAGATAGATAGATAGATGGATGAATGGATGGATGGATGGATGAAAGATGGATGGAATACCAAGCTAAAATAAAAAGAGAACAAAAAACACATGGCTAGTATCATAACAGTGAATGATTTACATGTGCATTGAAAAGAAAAACTTTTCTTTGTAATTGTTTGTGAAATTTACTAGCAATTTCTAAGTGAAAAAGTGTCCTCAACTATTTTTTTGGTTTGAATTGGAATGTCAAACCATTTCCCCTTCATTCAAAACACTGCATTTACATGCAGATCATTTATTCCTTCAGACTATCAGATTCACTGTCAATCAGAAAACAGAAGCGCTCAATAATACTGACTGGACTATCAACAGGACCGGATAGCTGTTGGGTTAAATCGAGGTTAAATTATATCTAATGTCACCTTTAAATGGCACGCTTGCCATGCACGCCTCATGAGGACAATACAGCATTTTATCCATCACTTCCCATCTGAAGATCAATATGTGCTGAATGTGTGATAGGGAATAAGCTTATATTTAGTGTATGTTGGTTTAATGACGGCTTGTTCTTCAGGTGTTTTCACACAGACAGTTGCAGTAGTTACTAGCTGTTTCATGCACTACTCTCATTGACAGTCACTGCATTGCACTACTGCTCATTTCCATAAATTAAACTCAATTTTGATGCATCAGAAACAGTCACTGTCGCTCACGTCGCCTCAACTCAGTCTAACTGCCCTTTAAAGAAGATCAACATGAATACAAAGTACTGTTTGCTTTCCAAACCCAGCTAACAAGGAATATTCTCAGAACATTCTGGCAATGTTTTCTAAGTTATGAAACGACGTTCTTCCAGTAATGCTAGTAGAACATTCGTTCAGACTTCTCTGGGTGTTAATAATGTTCTCAAAATTGTTCATGGAATGTTTTATTTCTGGAACGTTTTAGTTGGACATTCATCCAATGCTTTTAAATGTTACTACTTGTTTCGGAATATACAGAGAACATTCAAAAGTAACATTATACAATTTAAAGTTCCCTGAACATTTGCATAACAGAACGTTTTTAAACATTAAAAAAATGGACATTCTGAATGTTCAGAGTGCATTCAGAAATAACGTTTTCATAACCTCATGGGAACTTTGGCAAAAAATTTGGAAAATGTATAAAATGGAATGTTTGCTTAACATTTGCATATGAAAAGTTTTTTTTAAAAACTTGATAATGTTTAGAGAACATTCTGAAATTACATTTTAATGACTTAATGATAAGGTTAGCAAAACATTAAGAAAATATTTGGAAAATTCCACGTGTTTGCATAACAAAAAAGTGTTTTTGTTGTTGTTGTTAAACATTGAAAAAACTGGATGTTTTGCATGTACGTTCATAAATAATATTTTCATAACTTCTTGGGAAAGTTTAGAAAATGTTTGGAGTATTCTAAAATGAAATGTTCCCTCAATGCATTAAAAAAAAAACATTTTAAACATAAAAAAAAAACTGGGTGTTTTGAACATTCAGAAATCATTCAGAAATAACTTTTTTATAAGTTAACAGAAATGTCAGCAAATCGTAATCGAAGCATGTTCCTGATTCATATGCATGTCTTTCAAAGAAAAATAATTTGTCTGAAGTATCTTCAGTTGTTGTGCAACACAACAAACCTACATACTGTATATGTGCAGGGATTTTCTGGTACTTTCTACAGAATGCTCGTGCACCGATGTCGAAGCAGCCGTAGTTCTGCATGTGATGTGATATGATTGGATCACTGTCTATGGGTCTTTGTGCAGGCAGAATTTCTTGAAAATCTGTCAGGCTTGTATCAGAGAGGACACAGTAAATGAGGGCTCTTTCTATGCACATCTTCTAATTGTCTAAAATCTTTTCATTTTCAAACGAGGGACGCCACAATACAGGATGAGTAGGTTTAATGGATGGAACTCCTTATTCAAGCCTAAACCAGCAGCTAATTGACTAGCTCAGATTTATTGTCTCTTTTCTGCTAATTAGTTCTTTTATCCATAAATGGCAGCCTTGTTCTGACATGCTGATTTATTTGAATTCATTTTGGCCGTGTGAAATACTCACCGCTAGGATTTCTTACTTGTTCAAAGTCTGTTTTACCTTTGACATCTTTATCTTTAAACATCATTATGTGCTTTAGTATGGAAATGAAAAAAAGAAAGAAAGTGAAAAAAGAAAGGTACTGTAATTGT